AAAATATCCTAATACCACCCAATGGCGACGTGGGTCGGTAAGCCAAACAGCCATGTTAGTAAAAGTTTTTTGTAGTGACTAGACTCGACTTCGGCCAAGGAGTTGGAAGGGGGCTACCTACAGGCAGTCGGCTCTGATACCAACTTGTGATGCCCCCGGTTCAATCGTACACTAATCAAACAGGCAAATGTGTACGGTCAAGAACAAGGACTCACGGGAAGATATCACAACGCAACTCTAGACACAAATCAAAATAATAAAAGCTTTATATTACAAGCCAGGGGCCTCAAGAGCTCGAATACATGAGCTCGAATACACAATAGTCAACGGAAGCAACAATATCTGAGTACATACATAAGTTAAACAAGTCTGGCTTAAGAAGGCTAGCACAAAAGCAACAACGATCGAGAAGGCGAGGCCTCTTGCCTCGGAGCCTCCTAACTACTCCAGGTCGTCAGCGGCCGTCACATAGTAGTAGGCACCCTCGGGGTAGTAGTAGTCATCAATGGTGTCGTCTGGCTCCTGGGATCCGTCATCTGGTCGCAATAATCAGATATGGGGGAAAAGAGGTAGCAAAGCAACCGTGAGTACTCATCCAAAGTACTCGCAAGACTTACGTCAGATCTAAACTAAGTATGCATCTATATCAAAGGAATGGGCTGTATCTGTGGACTAAACTGCAAAATGCCAGAAGAGAAGGGGAAAGCCTAGCCTATCGAAGACTAGCATCTTCAAGCAGCTCCAAGCATCTTGCAGCATTCAGAAGAGTATAGAATAGCAGTTTATATTTAGCAAACATGTTGTAACATTAGCGCCGAGAGAGCACTTCATTGACTCCCTGCGAGGAAACGATCCCAGAGCCATCATATCCATTACACGCCTCAGTGATACGTCTCCAACGTATCTATAATTTTTTTATTGTTCCATGCTATTATATTATCTGCTTTGGATGTTTAATGGGCTTTAATATGCTCTTTTATATTATTTTTGGGACTAACCTATTAACCGGAGGCCAAGTGCTACTTTCTAGGTTTTTTCCTATTTTAGAGTTTCGCGGAAAAGGAAACCAAATGGAGTCCAAACGGAATGAAACCTTCGCGGTGATCTTTCTTGGACCGAAAGCAAACCACAAGACTTGGAGTTGAAGTCTGGAATGCCATGAGGCGGCCATGAGGCAGGAGGGCGCACCCAGGGGGTAGGCGCGCCCCACACCCTCGTAGCTCCACCGATGTACTTCTTTCGCCTATATATACTCTTATACCCTAGATCGACCACAAAGAGCCACGAAACCACTTTTCCACCGCCGCAACCTTCTATACCCATGAGATCCCATCTTGGGGCCTTTTCCGGTGATCTGCCGGAGGGGGAATCGATCACGGAGGGCTTCTACATCAACATCATAGCCTCTCCGATGAAGTGTGAGTAGTTTACCAAAGACCTTCGAGTCCATAGTTATTAGCTAGATGGCTTCTTCTCTATCTTTGATTCTCAATACAAAGTTCTCCTCGATGTTCTTGGAGATCTATTTGATGTAATACTCTTTTGCGGTGTGTTTGCCGAGATCCAGTGAATTGTGGGTTTATGAACAAGATTATGTATGAATATTATTTGGTTCTTCTCTGAATTATTATATGCATGATTTGATATCTTTGCAAGTCTCTTCGAATTATCGGTTTAGTTTGGCCTACTAGATTGATCTTTCTTGCAATAGGAGAAGTGCTTAGCTTTGGGTTCAATCTTGCGGTGTCCTTTCCCAGTGACAGTAGGAGCATCAAGGCACGTATTGTATTGTTGCCATCGAGGATAAAAAGATGGGGTTTATATCATATTGCTTGAGTTTATCCCTCTACATCATGTCATCTTGCTTAAGGAGTTACTCTGTTCTTATGAACTTAATACTCCAGATGCATGTTGGATAGCAGTCGATGTGTGGAGTAATAGTAGTAGATGCAGAATTGTTTCGATCTACTTGACACAGACGTGATGCCTATATTCATGAGCATTGCCTTAGATATTCTCATAACTATGCGCTTTTCTATCAATTGCTCAACAGTAATTTGTTCACCCACCGTAATACATGCTATCTTGAGAGAAGCCACTAGTGAAACCTATGGCCCCCGGGTCTCTTTCTTATTATATTGCATTTCTTTTATTTACATCGCATCTCATTTACTATTTTGCAATCTTTACTTTCCAATCTATACAACAAAAATACTAGACATATTTACTTTACTATCTTTATCAGATCTCACTTTTGTGAGTGGCTATGAAGGGATTAACAACCCCTTTATCACGTTGGTTGCAAGGTTCTTGATTGTTTCTGCAGGTACTAGGTGACTTGTGCATTATCTCCTACTAGATTGATACCTTGGTTCTCAAAAACTGAGGGAAATACTTACGCTACTTTGCTGCATCACCCTTTCCTCTTCAAAGGAAAACCAACGCATGCTCAAGAGGTAGCAAGAAGGATTTCTGGCATCGTTGCTGGGGAGATCTACGCCAAGTCAAGACGTACCAAGTACCCATCATAAACTCTTCTCCCTCGCATTACATTGTTTGCCATTCGCCTCTCGTTTTCCTCTCCCCCACTTCTAAAACGATTTTTGAAAACCTTTTCCTTTTATTCGCCCCTTTTCTGTTCATCTCTTTTCACTTTCTTCTTGTGTGCTTGTGTGTTGGATTGCCTGTTTGCTTTGATGGCTCTACCAAAAGCCGTTGATCCTCACCTTAGAAGGTTGGATGAAATTGAAAACAACATTAGAAGCTTTATGTCTTTGCAATTTGAGCATAATAATTTCTTCAGAAATGAGCTTAAAGAACAAAAAAAGTTTTATGGAGTACATGAATAAAGAGCTCAATGATATGTCTAAAGAATTTTATGGTTTGAAATCTCAGTTTGCTCATCTGGAAAATTTAGTAGGCCAAATTTTGGATAAGCAAGCCACCTCAATTAATAAGATGGCCGCTAAACTGGAAGATCTACATGATAATAATGATGAAGATCTAAAAGTGATTGATGTGACTCCTATTAAATCTTTGTTTTCCAATATGAATCTTGATAAAGATGAGACTGGAGATGAGTCAACTTTAGTTAAAAGGTGTCCCAATGATTCGGAGTTTTTAGATCTTGATGCAAAAATAAATAAAAGTGGGATTGAAGAGGTCAAAACTTTACATAGCAATGAACCCACTATTTTGGATTTCAAGGAATTTAATTGTGATAAATGCTCTTTGATAGATTGTATTTCCTTGTTGCAATCCGTGTTAAATTCTCCTCATGCTTATAATCAAAATAAATCTTTTACTAAACATATCATTGATGCTTTAATGCAATCCTATGAAGAAAAACTTGAACTAGAAGTTTCTATCCCTAGAAAACTTTATGATGAGCGGGAACCTACTATTAAAATTAAGATTAATGATGTTCTTATTGTTGCAAATAGGAATTTGCATCTACTATCTTTAAATTTGCATCTTGTGGATTCCACCATTAAGAAACCTATGGGAAGGATTAATGATGTTCTTATTGTTGCAAATAGGAATTATGTGCCTGTAGATTTCATTGTTCTTGACATAGATTGCAATCCTACATGTCCTACTAGAAGAATGCCCGTGCGTTGCAACGGGGCCACATTAACTTTAAGAGTTTAATATTAGTATGCTCATACATATCAAGTGACATTGGCGACCTTTTTTACCATCAAATCCTCACACACACACTCTCTCCCTCCCTCTTCCTCACTCTCTCCCCCCTCCCCCCTCTCTCTCTAACACACACACACATCCATCTTATTGGGTACGGGGACATAATCCATCTATTTCACACACACACACACACACACACGCTAGTGCATAACAATATGGATTATGTGTATTATATTTGCCACCAGAACTGAGGGAATTAATTTCATGTAAATCAGCCAGCCACAGCTCCAAGAATACGTGGAAGAGGTGGCACTACAAGAAACTTGTTAATACATGACGGTCCTTGTCCGTCACGGACCAGCCAAAAACTGTCATGCGTGGCCCTCCATGACGGATTTAAAATCCGTCATGTATATCATGTCATAATTTGATATTGTACCTTCCATGACGGTACTTGGCTGTCATGGATCTGCCACAGGCCCGCCAAGCCCAAACTAGGACATGACGGAACAAACCGTCACCGATTTACACGAGCTAGAAGGACATGACCTGACATGGCACCTACGTGTATCTGATGTGGAGGCCATGTGTATCTAATGTGGAGGCCAACACGACCGTGTATTAACGAGCCCAATTCCATTCCAATCAAACACATTAGCCATTTTTAGTCCAACCTGTTTTCTCAATGCGTCACAATTTACAACAAGACCACCAAATCATATTCATTCAAAAAATAGCATTTGTACACAAGATAATATAGATTTACAAAAATAGCATTTGTTCACAAGGCAATACAGATTTCCAACAATCTAGTATGGCTTCAAAAAGCAAACCTGAATATCAAACATCACAAGTATATCTAGAAAGAGCTATAAGCATTTTTTTTGTAAGAAGTCGAGTATCATGAATTCATTGAAAATCCACTGGTAGCTAATTTTAATCTCCAACACTACACCACCAGTTCCAGGCAGCTATTCGGACCCAAGTAATTCCTGCTAAAAAATATTCAATCTTCAGTAACACGGATAAACTTCGAAACCTGCATAGAATCGAAAACAAATACAAAATTATAATAAGTTATAACAGCGAGCTCCCATACAATACAATGTAGTCCATAGTTAACAAAACATGAAAATAGTAATACTGGAGGCATACTTTTTCATCAATTAAAGGTAATTCTGTCAATAAACATTCTTTTTAAATGTCATTTAAAATAAAACAACTTGAAGAAAAGATCATTTTAGCCAATTAAATGAACCACTTATTGATCTATTATGCTAACAGTAAACTTCTTTTCAAAGAACAAATATTCGTGAGCATCATAATACTTTAGTTAAGCAAGATGAACCTAATGGTTAAATTTTATATATTCTGATGCTACAGACCATAACCTTCACATCTGGATTAACCACACTCACATCTGGATTAACCACACTGATATTTTGAGACTGGACAAATGCACTATATAGCAGATCAAACACTCTTAAATCTAAAACATAAATAATATACCATCTATTAGTAATCTTAAAGAAAAACATGCAATCATCAATTCCATCGCTCGTTCAGATTGCAATACTGTGTATGCGTATTTCCGGAAATACAGTAGTAGAAAATCCATCACCTCTGTTGTAATAAGCGAAAAAACTAAGCATCAATTAAACTATTGCTTGCAAACCCAAATAATTCAAGGGAAAATGGAAGGATTATTTGGACAATATTAAGAAGTCAGGCAATAAATGAATAATAAATCAAGGCTGTAATAAGTTCATTTCAAGGGTTTCACTTTGTGTCACCTATTTGAACAAAGCAGAAGCAATCAGACAAAGATTGGCATGCTAGAGAATCAATGAGTACAGCAGGATGAAGATATACTCTCATCCATGTTAGGAAGTAAAACGCAAAGTAAAAAACTCCAGTCTTTGCATAAAATGCACCAGTTTAGCTTCTTGGCTTCTTGCATCAGCATTGTTTGCAACCATATTAATACAAAACTTAAAAGATTCAATTAGAAACGCAAAAGAACGAGGGAGGCACCTCCTCCTCCGCTGGCATCGAGTTGGTGCTTCTGCTGCGGAGATATCATAAACTGATGAGTATATGGCATGAGCAAAAGCACATGAAAAGAAAAATGAAATTTCTTGTGGAACTACAAACTATCCTGATTGTACTGCTGTTGTACATTAGTACAGTGAGGCATATTTGTGGAACTGCTCCAACTAGTGATATTTGTTGGTTGTGCTACACCACGAATAGGTTTAGAAGCAAGAATGAGTGAACAAACAAAAAAAGGTGCTGCATTTTCACTCATACAATGCACTTAACATCCAAAAGGGATGGATTTACGTTGGAGTTTTATTTGAATTAGGTTAATGCATGCAGTTCATGGGGTTGTGGAGTTGCAGGCAAAATCCAGCTCGGATCTGGAGGGTAGAGAGAGAGGGAGCTCACTTGCACAAAGAGGATGGCAGGAGGAAGCAGCCACGAGTGATCCCCACCCCCATCCTTGGAGAGGCTCCTTTGGCCGCTGGTCGTGTGGTGTGAGGAGAAGGCCGCCATCAGTCATCCATCGCCGGAGCAATCTGGTCACTCAAGTTTAAATAAATTTACTCTAAATGACCTAAACATTCCCATCAAGATATTGTACAGAAGATACATTCAATAGGTGATGACACATATATGCAATGCAACTTTCAGATTTACCATGAGATTCAGGAAATAAAAATTATTGGGATAGTGGATCAAGTAATAACTTCCTGACACAAATTTCAAAGCATAAGCTGCTATACTTGTGTTTATTTAACTTGCAATAAAAGATCAAAACTACATGAGGAAATACAAATGCAACATATATTCTCTGGTTTACAATTGCATAGTCAACAACAAAAATTGTAGCACCTTCCTTCTCCCTCTCATTTCAACTAGAGAACACCTTCACTCAAGCCCAAACAACATCGAATCTATTTAATCAAGCTCAAACAGCAGCAATCCCTAACTATCCCTAGATACAATTCGGCTTGATGGCCATGAAACAGAGTATGGCACAGCCACATGCTCGGAGCAGAGGAGAGATGCAGCGGTAGAAGTGCTCACCGCAGCGCAGGTCGGCCGCCGCCGTCGCGCGGCAGAGGAGGTCGCCATAGGATGCAAGTGTCGTGCCAGAGATACGGCAGAGGAGGTCTGGGTCACCTCATCCGGCCCAACGCGCGCGGGCATACTATGCTAGGGGACGCCATCCAGAAGGCGGAGAGGGCGCGAGGAGGCGCGGTGTGGATGGAGAGGAGCCGCCGGAGAAGCGCCGGCGTTGGACATGACTCGACAGCCGAAACCCTAGCCATGGCCAGGAGTCGTAGGCGAGCGCTGGACAACGGAAGCGCCGGATCCAGCCGGACTAGAGGATGGAGGTGCCGAAGAATAGCTCGTGAGTGCGCTCCGTGGCGGCGGACGTCGCCAGAATCGGCCGGCATGGTCACGACGCGAGTTGTCGCGCGAGAGAGATATGGGTAGCGAGAGGTATGGATGGGGTGGGGGATGCAGTGGATCTGGTAGTTGCCGGAGCTACGGGGTTAGAGGAGGGGAGGGGGAGCCGTCGATGAGGTGTGGGAGGAGGCACGCGCTGAGACAGTGGGTGGCGGCGATGTGTTGACAGGGGGTTGCAGAGGAGGGAGAGAGAGGAGAGGCTGAGGAGGATTTAAGGTTAGCTTTTTATATGGGGACGGATAGGTGGGCTTTAGCGGGCTTGCGGGATTGTACCAGTCCATCCATGACAGTTTTCGAAACTGTCATCCAAAATCCGTCATGCATTAACAAGTTTCTTGTAGTGTGGCCCAGGTCGGCGTCGTCCGGCGCGGGCCATGGCCCTGCTTCAAAGTGTGCCTGCGCACCGGCCACCCACGCTAGGTCCTTCAAGTGCCGCTTCCACCGCACCAACTCCCAGAGCCACGGCCATGGCCAAGGCTAGGGAAGCCGCCCTTCTTTGCCCCCTTCACCGGTCACAGCCAACGCGGTGTCGCGGCACCCGGTCTCGCCGTCCTCGTCCTCCGGCATAGTCGCGACCCAGTGACGCAGCCCAAGCATCGGCCTCAAGAATCAAGAACGCTCGACAACAGAGAGGGAAGGGAAGATCGTATACATGTCATAAGAAAGGGAGTTTATTTACTGCTCCCTCGATGTATTGTTTCCTTTGTTTGGAGATTGATTACCATCCGTGAGTTAAGGTAAGGTTAATGTGATTGAGTGATTTTTCTGAAAATCAAATATTTGTTTTCTAATTGATGTGATTGAGTGATTTAAGGTAAGGTTAATTAATTTAGATTTGATCTTTAGAGATTGTTCATGATTGATTCTACATTACTAAATAACTTGCGCCGGTATGGAAAGTTCTGATCTGTTCAGATTTCTTTCGTTGTGGGAGAGGGTGACGCGAAAATAAACCGATGAAGTGGGGGGAGGGGATGAAGGAAAATCTACGAAAAAAACCAGCAAAGGTGGGAGGAGGTACCAAAAAACCATGGGAGGTGGGACAGAAAAAACCTGGAAGCAAGACTACCAACTGCTCCATTAGTAGTAGAGATTATTCTTGGTAGATCTTTCCTTAGAACGATTGGTGCAATTATTGACATGAAAGAAGGAAATATTAGATTCCAATTTCCGTTAAAGAAAGGCATCGAACACTTTCCTATGAAGAAAATTAAATTGCCTTATGAATCTATTATGAGAGCCACTTATGGATTGCATACCAAAGATGACAATACCTAGATCTATTCTTGTTTTTATGCCTAGCCAGGGGCGTTAAACGATAGCGCTTGTTGGGAGGCAACCCAATTTTATTTTTGTTCTTTGCTTTTTGTTCCTGTTTAGTAATAAATATTTTATCTACCCTCTGTTATTATTGTGTTTTTTATGTTTTAATTAGTGTTTGTGCCAAGTAAAGCCTTTAGGATCTTCTTGGGTAATTGTTGTCCGATCTTGCTGATAAAAACAGAAAGTATGCACTCACGAAAATAATTTTCATTTCTTACCAGAGAGCGATAAAATACCAATTCAAACTACAGTAGATCAACATACTTTTTCTCCTGGTCATCGTAATTTCTCAGTATTTTTGGAGTTCCAGAAGTATTCGAAACCTCTAGATTGCTATAGATGGTTCTGTTTTTGACAGATTCTGTTTTTTGTGTGTTGTTTGCTTATTTTGATGAATCTATGGCTACTATCGGGGGGTATGAACCATAGATAAGTTGGAATACAGTAGGTTTAACACCAATATAAATAAAGAATGAGTTCATTACAATACCTTAAAGTGGTGGTTTATTTTCTTATACTAACGGAGCTCATGAGATTTTCTGTTGAAGTTTTGTGTTGTGAAGTTTTCAAGTTTTTGGGTAAAGATTTGATGGATTTTGGAATAAGGAGTGGCAAGATCCTAAGCTTGGGGATGCCCAAGTAACCCCAAGGTAAAATTCAAGGACAACCAAAAGCCTAAGCTTGGGGATGCCCCGGAAGGCATCCCCTCTTTCGTCTTTGTCTATCGATAACTTTACTTGAGACTATATTTTTATTCACCACATGATATGTGTTTTGCTTGAAGTGTCTTGTATGATTTGAGTCTTTTATTTTTAGTTTACCACAATCATACTTGTTGTACACACATTTTGGGAGAGACACGCATGAATCGGAATTTATTAGAATACTCTATGTGCTTCACTTATATCTTTTGAGCTAGATAATTTTGCTCTAGTGCTTCACTTATATATTTTTAGAGCACGGTGGTGGTTTTATTTTATAGAAATTATTGATCTCTCATGCTTCACTTATATTATTTTGAGAGTCTTCTAGAACAGCATGGTAATTTTCTTTGGCTATAAATTAGTCCTTATATGATGGGCATCCAAGATGGGTATAATAAAAACATTCATACAAAGTGCATTGAATACTATGAGAAGTTTGATTCCTTATGATTGTTTTGAGATATGAAGATGGTGATATTAGAGTCATGCTAGTTGAGTAGTTGTGAATTTTAGAGATACTTGTGTTAAAGTTTGTGATTCTCGTAGCATGCACGTATGGTGAACCGTTATGTGATGAAGTCTGAGCATGATTTATTTTTGATTGTCTTCCTTATCACTGGCGGTCGGGGACGAGCGATGGTCTTTTCCTACCAATCTATCCCCCCTCGGAGCATGCGCGTATTACTTCGTTTTGATAACTAATAGATTTTTGCAATAAGTATGTGAGTTCTTTATGACTAATGTTGAGTCCATGGATTATACACACTCTCACCCTTCCACCGTTGCTAGCCTATCTAGTACCGCACAACTTTCGCCAGTACCATAAACCCACCATTTACCTTCCTCAAAACAGCCACCATACCTACCTATGATGTCATTTCCATAGCCATTCCGAGATATATTGCCATGCAACTTTCCACCGTTCCGTTTATTATGACACGCTCCATCATTGCCATGTGGCTTTGCATGATCATGTAGTTGACATCGCATTTGTGGCAAAGCCACCTTCATAATTTTTCATACATGTCACTCTTGAATCATTGCACATCCTGGTACACCACCGGAGGCATTCACATAGAGTCATATTTTGTTCTAAGTATCGAGTTGTAATTCTTGAGTTGTAAGTAAATAAAAGTGTGATGATCATCATTATTAGAGCATTGTCCTAGTGAGGAAAGGATGATGGAGACTATGTTTCCCCCACAAGTCGGGATGAGACTCCGGATGAAAAAAAGAAAAAAAAAGAGGCCATAAAAAAGAGTAAAGGCCCAAAAAATGAGAGAAAAAGAAAGAAGGGACAATGCTACTATCCTTTTTCCACACTTGTGCTTCAAAGTAGCACCATGATCTTCATGATAGAGAGTCTCCTATGTTGTCACTTTCATATACTAGTGGGATTCTTTCATTATAGAACCTGGCTTGTATATTCCAATGATGGGCTTCCTCAAAATGCCCTAGGTCTTCATGAGCAAGCAAGTTGGATGCACACCCACTTAGTTTCTTTTTGAGCTTTCATACACTTATAGCTCTAGTGCATCCGTTGCATGGCAATCCCTACTCACTCACATTGATATCTACTGATGGTCATCTCCATAGCCCGTTGATACGCCTAGTTGATGTGAGACTATCTTCTCCTTTTTGTCTTCTCCACAACCACCATTCTATTCCACCTATAGTGCTATGTCCATGGATAACGCTCATGTATTGTGTGAGGATTGAAAAAGTTTGAGAACATCAAAAGTATGAAACAATTGCTTGGCTTGTCATCGGGGTTGTGCATGATTTAAATATTTTGTGTGATGAAGATAGAGCATAGCCAGACTATATGATTTTGTAGGGATAGCTTTCTTTGGCCATGTTATTTTGAGAAGACATGATTGCTTTGTTAGTATGCTTGAAGTATTATTATTTTTATGTCAATATTAAACTTTTGTTTTGAATCTTACGGATCTGACCATTCATGCCACAATAAAGAATATTACATTGATAATTATGTTAGGTGGCATTCCACATCAAAAATTTTGTTTTTATCATTTACCTACTCGAGGACGAGCAGGAATTAAGCTTGGGGATGCTTGATACGTCTCCAACGTATCTATAATTTTTTATTGTTCCATGCTATTGTATTATCTGTATTGGATGTTTGACGGGCTTTAATGTGCTCTTTTATATTATTGTTGGGACTAAACTATTAACTGGAGGCCCAGTGCCAGTTTCTGTTTTTTTGCCTATTTTAGAGTTTCGCAGAAAAGGAATACCAAATGGAGTCCAAACGGAATGAAACCTTCGCGATGATCTTTCTTGGACCGAAAGCAAACAAGAAGACTTAGAGTTGAAGTCTGGAATGCCACGAGGCGGCCACGAGGCAGGAGGGTGCGCCCAGGGGGTAGGCACGCCCCACCCTCGTGGGCCCTTCGTAGCTCCACCGACGTACTTCTTCTGCCTATATATACTCTTATACCCTAGATCGATTACAGAGAGCCACGAAACCACTTTTCCATCGCCACAACCTTCTGTACCCGTGAGATCCCATCTTGGGGCCTTACCCGGCGGTCTGCCGGAGGGGGGATCGATCATGGAGGGTTTCTACATCAACACCATAGCCTCTCCGATGAAGTGTGAGTAGTTTACCAGAGACCTCCGGGTCCATAGTTATTAGCTAGATGGCTTCTTCTCTCTCTTTGATTCTCAATACAAAGTTCTCCTCGATGTTCATGGAGATCTATTTGATGTAATACTCTTTTGCGGTGTGTTTGCCGAGATCCGATGAATTATGGGTTTATGAACAAGATTATCTATGAATATTATTTGGTTCTTCTCTGAATTCTTATATGCATGATTTGGTATCTTTGCAAGTCTCTTTGAATTATCGGTTTAGTTTGGCCTACTAGATTGATCTTGCAATAGGAGAAGTGCTTAGCTTTGGGTTCAATCTTGCGGTGTCCTTTCCCAGTGACAGTAGGGGCAGCAAGGCACGTATTGTATTGTTGCCACCGAGGATAAAAAGATGGGGTTTATATCATATTGCTTGAGTTTATCCCTCTACATCATGTCATCTTGCTTATTAAGGCGTTACTCTGTTCTTATGAACTTAATACTCTAGATGCATGCTTGATAGCGGTCGATGTGGACTAATAGTAGTAGATGCAGAATCGTTTCGATCTACTTGACACGGACGTGATGCATATATTCATGATCATTGCCTTAGATATTCTCATAACTATGCACTTTTCTATCAATTGATCGGCAGTAATTTGTTCACCGACCATAATACATGCTATCTTGGGAGAAGCCACTAGTGAAACCTAGGGCCCCCGGGTCTCTTTCTTATTATATTGCATCTCTTTTATTTACATCGCATCTTGTTTACTATTTTATAATCTTTACTTTCCAATCTATACAAAAAAATACCAAATATATTTAGTTTACTATCTTTATCAGA